TACAGTATTGTACAGTACATACAGCATTGTTGCCAGAAAATTGTTTTTGAGTCAACACTGCAGTAAATGGCAATAATTATTTAAAACAATAACAATTTAAGATCTAAAACACAGGCACTGTTGAAAAGATATCCTTTGTCGGTTTTTTTAAAGTTTGCAAAAAGCACTCAAAGTAACAAGTTCTGTCAGTTTTAATTCAGCTTGCAAGGCATTCCAAGCTGAGGGGGCAGAAAAGCTAAAAGCTTTCTTGCCCTTTTCTGTTCACACACACGATGAACATGAAGATGCAAACAGTCCTTAGAGCGTAAGGCATAACTACTGTCCATTCTTCGTATAAAAGTACATAAATAATGTGGAAGCATGCCAATAAGAGACTTATAAACCAAAGTCATCCAATGCACATGTCGCCTGTTAAACAGGGAAGACATATTGGTTTTAAGATAGAGATCACATGAGATTTAAAATAAAGCTCCTCGTCGATAATTAAGTCCAGGTATTTATAACAGGAGACCCTCTCGAGAACTTTACCTTGGGAAGTTTTTATTAGAGGGATATTCTCCAATGGGACAGATACATTTGAAAAAAACATTATTTTAGATTTATCAGCATTTAAGACCAATTTTAGTTGCTCAAGATGAATCTGCACCTCATCAAAAGCAGCCTGTAAAAATTTTAAGTGCCTGATCAATTGAATTTGAACAACAGTAAATTACACAATCATCAGCATAAAAGTGGTAGGAGGCATTTTGCAAATTTTCACACAGTGCAGTAATGTAAATTGTAAATAAGATGGGCCCCAAGACAGAGCCCTGGGGTACGCCCTTTTGTACTTATAAATAATAATATATAAATAAATAGTAAATAAATTAATGTCCATCTTTTATTTGTATTTAGCCTTCAAAAAATTCTGAAATCACTGTCAAATAAACATAAAACTCTCAACTTTGTCAATATTAATAGTTTTAACTTTAAACAACAACATAGCCTAACGTTTGCTGCATGTGTTTCTCTTTTGATACAGCTGGGGGTGTTGTTTCAGGGACACGATGGCTCAGACTTTTATTGTGTTTCATCTTCTGACTCAGCATATTCTATCGAGTGGAACAAGTTAGATGTGTCTCACCGCTAGTTGGAACGATTCTCTGTCACATTTTGCAGCACACTGACTGAAACCTGCAGTTTATCAGATCTTAGAAAGCCAAACCCCTTCCACACTGCCAAATTAGTCTTTCCTCTTTTATCAATTATGTCACTTCCTTTCTCTTCACTTGTGAAAGCTTGTTCAGTCACATTCTGACGGCCACGGGCACTCATTTTGAAGCGAAAACTTAACGCGCGTTGGAGATTAGCCTAGCCTGCTACTGCTAACGCTTTCTGTACTCATGCTCTGCATAATATCTACGTCACCACGTACTTGCGTAGTTGTGTTGCACCTTTTTGATGTTAGGATTGAAACTGAAGCGGCCGCTTCAACCCGAACAGAAAAAGAAATGCGTCAGTGAAACGCTGTAATATGGAAATCTTGAAAATGTGCTTAAAACTCATATCACAGTTATTGAATAAAAGTATATTGCAACTTATATTGATATTGAATTATTGTTCATCCCTATGTTGTTGCATTCAAAACTTTTTATTTTTGCCATAAGAGATGGAAATTTGCCATGTCGCTACAGCTGCATGCATTTAGCACAGTGCAAGTACTCATAGTTGGTTGTGTTGTTACTCTTATCAGGTAAAAGCTCAGGGACGACCATTACAACCCACTAAATATTGAGTTCTAAAGTTCAACCCCATACTAAGAGTCACTGGCAAACTGTGTCACACCCCAAACCTCCAACGCATAGTCAAACCTGGTTGAGACCTCAAAGTAGAGCCTAAGGAACTCGCACTTTAGAATGGAGGCAATCAGAACACAGGAAAAGCACTTGTTTGGTAGCCAGACCTGATCTGAATCAGACGGAGGGGTAACCCATGCCAAAATGCCAATCCATCGTGAGACTGGGAACAAAAAGATGAAGCTACCCAGATAACCGTTTGAGAGCAATAAACGCTCAGTGTTCCATTTGGCAGAGACGAGCTGAGGAGTTCACTAAATTATTCAGCCAGTCGTCACGTACTTAGCTCACAGTTTGTTCCTCTAATTGCTACTATTCATTTGGCTTTTCATTCCCAGTCTTTTCTGTTTGTTTCTTGAAACAATGTTTGGTTAGTCTCCCTGACAGTTTGAACAGTGCATTGTTGAGTATGAGGCAACTATTTTGCAAATTTTCATGGAAGATTTTCTCACTTTTAAAATGGAATGCACAACGTCACAATAATTTAATAAAGGAAGCTCATCGAACGCCACGAGGAATGAACATGGATCACATGATTGTCTCTGAGAAGCTGCACACGGATTCTATAGTACTTTAGAAACCTAGTGGGATGTTGTATTTGAAATAAACGTAGATCAATATCTAGTGTTTGCATTTTCCAAAGCATATTAATCTTCTAGTCTTCTCATATAATTACTGAATGAACTTCTGCTTTTATGTGCTTGTTTGGCGTTGGGCTGGTTGTATTTATAACTCGTTGTCATAGGTTTTTTAGCCAGCTGCTGGAGGCTGGCCTAGTGGTCAGGGTGTTTGCATGCTGAATCGATAACCTCCCTGCTCTCCTCCACTAGCATTAATAAGATTATTGATTAGCTGCCTCCCAATGATTGATTACCCTTTTATAACATTGACTCGGCCTATTATTAGTTTCCCCCATCTGATGCTTTTGTGCCTAATAAATTGGCTTTTGTGCAAATCAATGCTGATCTTAGAGGTGATGGAACACTCTTCTGGGTTGGTTGTGTTTGGTTTTGTATTTGATAGGTCTCAAATACTCATATTTTAGACAAAAATGTGTCACTGAAAATTATGAGTTCATCTAATTATTTATTTCAAACACATACATATGTCCAAATATTTAGTTTTACTGTGTACTATGTACTGGGGGTGCACAAAGTTGTAGAGAGGAGATACAGACCAAATTCAAAATCAACATGTGTGTGGGGGTGGTGGGGTGGGGGGTGGTGTTAAAGTAATGCAAAAGAACATCTTCAGAAAAATTAAGCAAAAGAAGAAACAACTTGGAAAAGGGGTAGAATTAAAAAATAGGAAAGAGAAAGAGGTAATGTGGAAAGAAAGCAGAGGGGAAAGTGAAGGAGGATGTACAGTGCTTATAAAAAGTATTCACCCCCTCTGATGTTCTGTGCTTTTATTGCTGTCATACATCAGTCATGGTCAATACAAATTGGCTTTTTTTGTTTAAGGTTTGTTCAGGGCCTTGGAAATCCTTTTGCATCCATCCCTTGACTTGCACTTTTCAATAATTTACACTGTTTATTTAAGACAATTACTTTAAAGGGGTGAACATTTATACAATCAGTTATTTTGCATTATTTGTTTTTAATTAATTAGCATTACTTTGTAGAAGTTTGATATTGAGTGGAGTTTTTTTTTGTAATGAAGGTCAATTTATTTTAATCATGACTGATTTATAAGAGTAATAAAAACCTAAAACATCAAAGGAGGTGAATACTTTTTATAGGCACTGTATGGATACATTGCTACTTGCAGCACGGTGCCGCAACTGGTAGAGCTGCTGCCTCTCAGCGAGCAGGTCCTTGGTTCAAACCCCGGTCCAGGGGCCTTTCTGGGTGGAGTTTGCATGTTCTCCCTGTGCATGCGTGGGTTTTCTCCGGGTACTCCGGTTTCCTCCCACAGACCAAAAACATGCATGTTAGGCTGATTGGTAACTCTAAATTGTCCCTAGGTGTGAGTGAAAGTGTGAATGGTTGTTTGTCTCGTTTGTCTCTATGTGGCCCTGTGATGGACTTTCGACCCGTCCAGGGTGTACCCTGCCCCTCGCACAGTGATTGCTGGACATGGGCACCAGCGACCCCCGTGACCCAAAATGGAATAAGCGGGTAAAGAAAATGGATGGATGGATGGATGTATGGATACTTCATAGCTGGTATGACAAAGGAGACAGTTGACTGTAAATTGTGTTCAGAATACAGAATATACTACCATTATACAAGCAGGGTACCCCACCCTGTCGACAGAACCCGGGCGCCCTGCCTACCGACAGGCCCCCCCCATGCACCCCCCTCACCACACACCCCTATCACCCACCTGTGCACAGCCTAACCCCCCCCCCCCCCAGACAACTTCCCGCAATTACGTAGCACTAAGCTAGCAGCGTGCAAATCAGACGCACTAGCTAAAAAGCTACAGTTAGTACCCCATTTCACTCAAGCTGAGCCATATCCAACCCCACCCCACCCCCAACCCAATTTTAAAAAATCCTGCCGGTACAAACGGCTCACATCACCCCCACACAGTCGAGAAAATTCACGGATTATATGAACGCTCTGCCAAGGCAAGTAAACTAAAGGAAACACGGAATACTTTATTAATCCTAGGTGAAATTGGACTTTGTCACAGTTGCTCCATGCAAGGGTATACAAATGCAAACATACAAAAATATCAAAATATACACCTATAATACACCTGAGCAAAAATAAAAAGAATGAAGATTAAAAAGATTTTAAATAACAATAAATATAAAATCTAATATATACAATATGCACGTTTTATACATTCGAAGTATGTGAAGCTCTAGTGCAATTATGAATATGTGCATGTATAACCAACAGAACTTGAACACCAGAAATGTGTCATTAACCAACCAAGAAAACAAAATTGATTAAGGAAGCTTCACTGTAAACCCAGCTGTAAAACATTGTTTTTCAAAAGAAGCTAATACTCCGTTTTATTTATTTGTATTTAATTTCATGGCTTACACATCTTTATCCCCCTTTGTTTTGTATTTCTTACACATCTTCATCTTACATATTTCACCCCTCCTAATTCATCATCCTTCATCACACATCTCCATCAATTTGCTTTATATTAAATTATAACCTTTGGTCTCTAACCCTTCTTATCCCTTGTATTTTGTTTCTTTAGACAAATCCCTTCATACTGGTCCTGGTGCCCAGTATGATGCCTCTCATTGGGGCTCCTCTGTGCCAGTTGACAGACACTCCAGTGCCAACAGCTGGGACAAAGTAATCATCGACGGAAGCGATACAGAATCTTGGCCATCTATTAGTCGTAGCAGTGACCCCATCCACTTGGCAACACCAGAATGCTCCTTAGACTCATCTAGCTCTAACCCAGATACCAGTGCTGTCCTTACAACTACAAGGAGTGGTTTTCTGAGTATGGCCACAGGTACTACTGGCCTGCAGGCCAACTATAACTCTCTTAAAACAAACAATAACATGATGACAGGACCTGTGTCAACCAGTACACTATCAGGTAACAGAGGATGGGGCTCAGACGGAAAACAAGATGGAATGAATAGTGGTAGAGTTGGAGCATCCAATAGCTGGGGATCACCAAATTTTAACTTGAATCTCAACCCAAATGCCAACCCATCTGCCTGGCCTGTTCTAGGACATGAAAGTGGTGGAGGTGGTGTTATTGGTCCCAATGGCATGTCCAACTCTTCATCTCTTCCACCAGGTAAAAATGGCAATGGAAATGTGAGAAATGGAAATGCAGATAATGGTGGGGGTGGCTGGGTCAGCATGATAAGTGCTAATGAAAATGAGCAACAGCACCCTTCTGCCAATACAAACCTATCCTTCAATATGGAGCATGCTAACCTTAATACTGATGGACCAAACTACACTAAACAACAGCAACAAGCTCAGGAGCCCATGAGCCCCATCCATGGCTTAACTGGTTGGGGAGGCCAGTCACCCACTGAATCATCCCAGCTCAATGGTGACACAACAGGCAGCTCCGTTTGGGGCAGTGGAGAAACCAAGTCAGCTGAGCCTCCCAAAGACTCGAGATGGGACTCAACTCCCTCTACAGCCCTCTCTGCCTGGGACCGGCAAGGCAGTGGTGGTGGGAGTAGTGGAAGTGGCAGCTGGGGGGATTGGGGCAAGTCCTCTGGGGTTGGAGATGTGCCTAAAAGCTGGGACTCGGTAGATGCTGGTAGTTCTGGTTCAGGCCAAGAGCAGCAAATTAGCTCATGGGGCAAACTTTCAGAAACAGCCCCAGCTAGTGAGGATAGCGGGGACAGCAGTGAGGGTCACTCTCATCACAGAGACAGATCCTCTAGTATGGAGTTTGCCACTCTGCTACAACGGCAGGACCTAGACCCCAGAGTGTTGAGCAACACAGGTTGGGGACAGACACCCATCAGACAGCACACTGTTTGGGAGATGGAACAAGCCAGTTCTGATGAAGGGAAAAGCAATAGCAACTCAGACACCATGGGATGTTCCAGCTCTAATGTTGGCCCCTCATCAGCCAATGGAGGTACAATTAACCCTCCCACTGGACCCAATCAAAAGTCTGGTTCTGGAGGAAAAATTGACAGTGAAGGGCCTTCTTCATCTGGATGGGGACCCCCTCCACCTCAGCCAATTCAAACTGGATCAGGATGGGGAGACCCTTCACCTACTCTCAACAATGCCTCAAATGGCACACCCACTGGCTGGGGAGACTCTTTACCTACTAATGGTTCTAAAAGTGAGGGCACCCGGTCGTGGGGCTCTGATGATAAGTCACCCATTTGGGATGATGGTATGATGAAAAACCATCCTACTAGCTGGGGAGAAGGCCACAAGAGCGCCCATGGTTGGGGCAACAGTAATGGGGGCTCCAATGTCTCCACCCCAGGGGACTGGGAAGAGCCAGATGTCAAGAACAATGAGTCTTCTAACAGCATGTGGGAAGAAGAAGGAGGTAATGGAGGAACTGGTGGATGGAAAGAAAGCACTAGAGGAGGAAGTAAAGGAGGAGGAGGTGGGTGGGGTAAACCTGCACCTGCTGTGAGTAACAGTAACTGGGGGGAGACCTTGCGTAATGGTGGCCCAGTGCAGGGAGGCTGGAGCCCTTCAAAGCCCCAGGAAAGCAGCAGCAGTGGCAGCAGCACTGGCAGCATTGGTTCCTGGGGTGGTCCTAGCTCTGTGAAACAGAACAGCTCCAGCTGGGGAAACAAAGGCAAACAGGACCAGGGCATGGAGCCCAGTGGCTGGGAGGAGCCCTCTCCTCCCTCCATCCGCAGGAAGATGGAGATTGATGATGGAACATCAACCTGGGGTGATCCCAGTGCTTACAACAAGACTGTCAACATGTGGGATCGTAATAATCCCAATAATAACCCAGGCAACAGTGGCCCTCCTCCCAGCAAGAATGGAGGAATGATTATTTCCATCAACAACAATAATCACCATCCTCAACACATGCATCATCATGGCCATCACGGCCAGCCCCCAGTTCACCTGCAGCACCAAGGAAATAACAACGGGTCACCAAACAATGTCGCCGCACATCCTGGTGCTGGGCCCCTGGGAAGGCCCCCCATTGCTAACCCAGGT